TGACCACTTTCCCCATCGTGAATGTGGAAACTTCTCCCCATATTCCTAACCCCATCTCCACTCAGACACCAGAGACCTCTCAGCGTTATCCCATTAGGTCACTCATCTTTGCCTCCCCTTTGCTCAAAACCATCCCTCAGTCCCCTGACTCTCTCACAACCAACCCTACATACATCCTCCGTGTGGCCAGCAAGGTCTGGCCAGCCCTGAACTCTTCCTAGACCTCGCCTCCTCTTCTTCTCCCTCTGACCTGGCCTCCTTGCTGCTTCTCCAAGAGACCTGGCTGGATTCCACTCCAGGGCTTTTGCCCATGCTGTTCCCCAGCTCAGGACACCCTTTCCTCCCTTCCCTCTGCAGGTGCTGATTTCCTCCTCAGACTTCCCGTCTCAGCTTATTTCCTGGGAGGGGTCTCACATCCCCTCTCAGAGACCACTGAAGCTCGGCCTCCCATTTAGAACAATAGCCCTTGAACTGGTACCCACGTAGACAGGACACTAAGTGGTCGTTAGGACCATGACCTTTTGATTGTAAGCACAGGGCGGTGCCTAATGATAAATGGACCCAGATCACACCATGGTCTGGGCCGAGTCCAGGGGAGATCTGAGCCTTCCTGGACCCTAAGCAGAAGAACTTTGGAAGCTGGACCAGCACGCAGGAGTCTTGGGACAGAGGAAGGGTGTGGCCTTTATGGCTTCCTCATGGGGGCAGCAGAGCAGGTACCAGATACCTGGCTTGGCCCCAGCCTGGCCGCACTCCATTAGATCCTGGTCCTCCTACCCCATCCACCACAGGGGCCCAAGCCTCCAAGCCCTCCACTCCCCACTGCCAGCCCCTCTGCAGGCCGGCCTCCAGGCCCAACTGCACCTGTGGGCCCCATAGTCCCTGAGCTCTGTGGAGCGAGGAAGAGCCATGGACAACCTGGAGCCGACTTCCTTCCCTGCCCACGGGGGTCTGGCGGCTGACAGGTGTGGCTTCCTCTCCAGACCACTCTAGCCACTCTCAGTGGCAACCTCTAACCTCCCTCCCTGGCCTGCTGGAGTGTGTGTCCTGCAAAGTGGACAGCAGAGCAGAGGGGACCCAGCCTCACAGGGCTGTGGTTTGGAGCCACCAGTGATTTCCCTTCCCAGCCTCAATTTCCTCACCTGTTAAAAGGGCATGCTAGGAGTCCCTACCTCAGTGTCCTGAAGAGAAGAGACTGCTTGTGTGTAAAGAGTTTGGCACTTGGTTAAGTGAGTCTTGCCTCCTTGAAGGAACCAGGAACATTTAGCCTGAAAAGGCAGGGGCTTTGGGGTGAGGTGGGGATAACCAGAGAAGACGGGAACCCACGGAGAAGTGGCTAAGTGTATGAACCTGAGCTCACAGCTGAAAGTCAGGGGCACCTGTGAGCACAGGGAGGTCACTCTAAAGGTCCCAGCTGCCCCTGGGAACCTCAGAGAGGGCCACCAACATCACTTAGGCCAGGGTGAACTTGTCCAAGGGCCTGGGGTCACGAGAAGGGAGACCTTTCTTTCTCTAAGGTCGGAGGAGGAAGGTGCTGAGATTGGGAAGGCGGGAGACGGTCACCAAGGGAACTCGGCCACATGGCTCCAAGCTCAGACGCCAGGGCAAGGAAGGCCGCAGGAGGTGCCAGGTGACTACCCCTGTATGGTTGGAGTTTGTACAACCAGAACGTGCAACGAGATTTCCTGCCCACTCTGGGGTGAAGGGCGGCTTAGAGGTGACAATGAGGCATGACAAAGCAGGGCAGGTACGGGGGTGTGAGCAGAGCTGAAGCAAAGTAGTCAAAGGTGGGCAGAGCAACCCAGCGGGAGGATCCCCCATTTGGGATAGCTTGCAGGCGGGCCAGGTGCCCCTCAAAGCCGCGTGAGAGGGGAGTGTTCGGGACGGACTGCAGCGCAGCCAATGATGAGGCGTCGCTGGCGGGCGGGGGTGGAACTAGGCTACTGGAGTGGAGGGCGCGTGGGCTGCACGGAGCGCACTCACCTGGGGCCTGGGTCAAGGACCAGGTCGGGACCGAGGTCGGGACGGCCTCACCGCCCAGCCCGAAGCCGAGCAGCAGCCGCAGCGCCAGGCCCAGGGCTGTTGCCTGCCGCACTCGGCCGCGCGTCATTCTGCCGCTGAACGAATTGCCCTGCCGGGCGGCAGCTCAGGCCCCGCGCGGTCGGGCGCGCTTGTATCTCCGCGCACGCATGCGCACAGGTCTGAGGCTACCGTAAATATCTGAATACGGGGGGGCTCACGATTTGAGGCTCTCTCCCACTTTTCCCAGTGTCAAGGTACATCGAAAGGTATGCAGCCTATTTTAAATTAGAAACTTCTGGAGATGCACACAAATTTGCCGGTGTCTATTTAAAATATTTAACCTTCCAATGCATCCTGAACCAAATGTTGATGCTTAGTTATCCTGTTAAATATGGCAGCCACTCACCTCAGGCACTTTCTATCCCCTCCTTCCCCCTGCCCACACAACCCCCCCCCGCCCCCGCTTCTTTTGTGCACTTGACTTTTTATTTTACATTTTTTAAAAATTGGAATATAGTCAGTTTACAGTGTTGTGGCCATTTCTGGTGTACAGCATGTTTCAGTCATATATATGCGTATATATACTCATTTTCAAATTCTTTTCTATTATAGTTTACTACAAGATTCAGTATAGTTCCCTGTGCTACACAGAAGAAACTTGTTTATCTGTTTTACATATAGTAGTTAGTATCTGCAAATCTGGAACTCCCAATTTATCCCTTCCCATCCCCTTTCCCCCCTGGTAACCCTGAGTTTGTTTTCTGTGTCTGCGAGTGTTTCTGTTTTGTAAATAAGTTCATTTGTGTCTTTTTTTTTAAGATTTCACATCAGTGCTATCATATGGTATTTTTCTTTCTCTTTCTGCCTTACTTCACTTAGAATGATGATGTCTAGTTCCATCCATGTTGCTGCAAACACCTGACATTATATATTTTATTTACTTCCTTTGGTTTATTGTAATTCCCCATTAGAACGTCAGGCCCAGGAAGATGGGAATGCTGTGTTGCTTCTTGGAGCCTCAGTGCCTAGATCAGAGCCTGATGCATAGTAGCCTCTTAAACATAGTAGATGAATAAATGATGGAAATGTCCAGTTCTTGGCTTTCATCCTGGGTCCTCTGTTCCTTGAACAATCGTGGATCTCCTCACCAACACTCACTGTCTCGTGGTCCTCATAGACCCCCTCCCAGGGAGGTGCGTCTTACACTCTACTTCTGGAGCAAGACCTCCAAAGGTAGACTGGATTTCCTCCTCTCACACTCATTCCCTAGGCACAAAATACAAACCTTCTGAGGGTTTTTTTAGTCAACTGGCTGCTGTATGTTCTTCTGGGAAATAAATATTTTATCTACAGCTCTGCCCTCAGGAGAAGCAGCACTGCTGCCAGCAGGGCCCCCGCACAAGTCACTGTCCTCAGCGTTGAGACATCTGTGCAAGTGTTCACTACCCCCAGGTTTCCTGTGAAGCAACAGTAAAAGGTCCAGCTTTTCACAGAAGGCGCTCTATTTGCAGGTTGATGGTGTGCTTACTATTCGAAAATGTTGGAGGTTAGAACTGCTATTTGTATATCATGATCTCCAATTCCCAGGAGCAATAGGGTAAGAGGTAAAAGTGCACTGGCACAGGGGCAGCCGGAAAGGGCGGCAAATAGGACTGCCTGCCTGCGGGGGGGGGGGGGGGGAGGTGGTCCTGCTCCACCTGTGAGGCTCAGGTTGGGAGCTGGGGCCCAGGGAGGGATGTTGAAGAAGAAACTGACAACGTGTAGAGTTTGAGTGCAGACGCATCCGAGACTGGGTTAGGAACCAGCTCTCAGTGAGCTGAGGGGTTTCCTGGTCTTCCCACACTGGAGGTGTCTGCCTTCATTCCTTCTGCACCCCCTTTCCAGATTTCAAGTCTGGGTCATGAAACTTTACTCAGAAATCTTTGATGGCACGCCTTGCCTGGGGTCTTTAGATGCCCCCGCCAATGTGACCCTCCTTGTGGCCTCTGCACACTCTGCCCAGCCTTCCTCTCTCTCCTGATCTTACTGAATCCGATTCATCCTTTGTGCCAGCCAGAATCCCACCTCCTCCAGGAAGCCTTCCCAGGGGCTTTTTCCTTCAGAAGAGCATTTAGCATCTGTACCACCTATTCCTGGGGCACTTATACCTCTCGCCTGGAACTGTGACTCTTCTCCTGCCTTGCTCCAAGCTTGAAGGCAGGATGGTCCCCCACAACATTCCCCACTTGAGGCCACTGCGCAGCTCCCCTTCGCTCCCCACAACCAGATGGAGGTCGCTTCCTCTCTTGGGCTGACTCCGCCTTGCCCCCCAGGCTGGAGCACAATGGTTTCTGGCTTTCTTGCTCAGGAGGTCTTCCCCACTGGTCCCAGGTGAGCCTTCCATATGAGCCACCTCCTTGTCCCCTACTGTCCCGGCTGAGCTGAGCGGCAGGGTGGTCAAAGTCAGGCGGGGGATGCAGTGGGAGGGGGCCGGTGACTGTCCACGTGAGCCTTGGCTAGGGGAGTTCTCCCGAGTGGGTGAGGGGAGTGAGCAGTGTCTGTTCCGGCCCCTTGGCCTTTCCAGTCAGTCCTCCACAAATACCCAGAGGTCCTGGAACCCACTCGCTGTTCTCGTGGTGAGAGCCAGTCCCTCAGGGAAGGGATGGTGACATATCTGTGCCCAGTGACAACATGTCATCCTGGAGCTTGAGAATCATTGTCCTCCCCTGCTCCTGGAGCTCTCATGGGATTGAGATTCAGCACCAGCAGGGAGGGCAGAGCTCAGTGGTAGAGTGTCTGCTTAGCATGCATGAGGTCCTGGGTTCAATCCCCAGTACCTCCATTAATGTCAATAAGTAAATAAATAAACCTAATTACTTCCCCCAAAAAACAAATAAATAAATAAAATACCAAAAAAAAAAAAAAAAGATTCAGCACCAACTTCACCCTGAAATCCAAGTAAGCCCCGTGGGTCCCTTCAAAAGTAAAAACAGAAGCAATCCTGGAGAACTCAATATACATTTTTATTATAAATTACATCACGTTCTCCCCAGAGGGAATCCAAGGAGTCCACGGAGGGGGAAGCACTCAGGTGGCTCTGAGGGCTTAGCCAGGTACCCCAGGGCACAAGGTCACAGGTAAGGCTGATCCGTGGACAGCTCCCATCTCTTTATGGGAGGGGCCGGCGTCACCGCTTTCTTCTCGGGTACAGCTGGGCTGGAAGATGAAAACAGAATTCAGTTAGGCCCAGGTTCCCAGAGAACAGTGTGGAGGAGTCCGAGGGAGACCCCTGCCCTGGCACGAACACTTCTGCTGAAGTGGTGGATTGGGAGGCCAGAGCACTCTCCACCCAAAGGGTCAGCTGACAAGCCCCCTTTCTGCCCTGAGCCCATGGTGAACCCCGACACCGCTGGGCCTGCCCTGCTCTTGGACCCAGAACTAGTGTGAAAGGCTGGGCTCCTCCTCCAACACCCCTCCCCACCTGCACCCCACTCCTGCTGCTCTGGAACAGCACACTAGCAAAAGGGCTGAGCAATCAGGTGATGCATGTCCCTGCTCCTCCTTCCCTCGAGTACTGAGCACCTGCTATGTGGCAGGCACTACAAGTGGCCTCCGCCTAATGGGGCTGAGTTGATATGCAACTGGATAATACACCGTTTGGCCCGTGGTTGGCCCATGGTGAGCCCCAAGAAGACACTGTGCTGGCAAATCCAAGGCATGTATCTATCTCACCCCCATCCCTGGCCCTGGGGCCTAGGCCTGCACACACTAGAAGCAAGAAAGGAGAAGGGGCAGGTGGGTGGGATCTCCTCTCGGAGAAATCCCCCAGGAGCAGGGGTTCCAGGGCCTCCCATCCTCCCAGGAGCCTGAAGGAGGTGGAAGAGGCAGAAGGCAGCCTCCCTAGGAAATGCAGACATCCCGGGGGCAGGTGAGGGGTGTGGGGGAGTGGGGCAGCTCACCGGAGCCTGGTGTTGGACTCTGGTGAACCTGGACATGGCAACATGGACAGTTCACTGAGTTCTAACTGCACAACAGGCCCCGCCTGGCCTCATCACCTTAGAGATCTGCTGCAAGCCCACCATCCCCATCTTCCAGATGAAGACACTGAGGCTGAAGGCCAAAGGACTGGCCCAAGACCGCACCGCAAGTCAGCTCTAGAGTCCAGACACCACTGGGGGTCTGGGCAAACTGTGAGATTGTGATTCTGCTACCCGCGGGCTGTGTGGCCCAGGCAGGTCACTTGGCCTCTCTGGGCCTCAATTTCTTTTTCTGCAACAGGGGCCATCACTGCCTAACTCATGGAGTTATTAGGAAGTAGATGTGGCACTGACTCCATTCTAAGAGCTTACAAACGTTAAAGATAAGAATTAATTCTCATAATGACTCTGCTATAGACTAAAAGTCTGTGTCCCCTAAAATCCATGCTGGAATTCTATGCCCCCATGTGATGTTGTTAGGAGGTGGAGCTTGGGGAGGTGGCTCATGAAGGTGGAGGCCTCATGAATGGGGTTAGTGCCCTTATAAGAAGCCCTAGAGACCCCTTGCCCTTCCAAACACGTAAGGACGTGGCAAGAAGATACCATCTGTGAACCAGGAACGTGCCCCCACCAGCCGCTCAATCTGCAGCCACCTTGACCTTGGGCTTCCCAGCCTCCAGAACTGTGAGGAAGAATTTTATTTGTTTTTAAGCCATCAGTCTGTGGTATCCTGTCATAACAGAACTCTCTAAAGTAAACACCATTATTGTCCCTGTTTAATTAAGAGACAATACCTGAGGCCAGGGACAAAACTGGGTTTTAAGGGGCCTGAGGTTTACATAATCTTCTCTTCAAGAACAATACAAAATTACAAAAACAAAAATGCTTGGGCTTCTTCCAAGACCCTTGAAGGGCACTTGGAGCTTCCTCTGCTTTGCAGGAAACCCACCCAGGCAGGCTAGGTGGGGATTCAATGAGCTCTCAGATGAGAAGCCCCCAGCAGCACATTTCCTGCCACAGCTGATGCTTGATGGCCCTTTGCAAGGACATTTCCTTGCAAAGGACAAGCAAGAAAAAGGGCAGATGGCAGGAGGGTGCTGTGGCCTCCTCACCTCTCTGCTGGCTTGCCGGACGCCAGCACCTTCTGCGAGGACATGACGATAGAGGGCGGCATGGCTTCCCGGCGGCCATCTCGAGTACAGTAGTAATTGTTGGAGAGTCTGTGGCTGGGGCCCACAGGGAGCCTGGGAGGAGGCTGAGTCCTGAGGACAAAGAACACTGTCAGTGAAGCAGAATGACAGTCATTCTCCCTGCCTGGCTGGCCTGGAGTGTGGGGTTGGCAGCCACTGTGATGTGCTGCAGGCCAAGGGGATCCCTTGATATGCTGCTGTGGCCACAGGCCTGGGGAGGGGCCAGGACCTCGAAGCAGGTAGGAGCCCCTGCACTGGATGTGAAGCTCCCAGAGGACAAGGCCTCGGACTGCCCAACCCCACGTCCCTCACCTGCCCCAGATGTGGTGGGTATAAATGACACTTAAGTCTGGGAAGCCTCCCAAGGAAGCGGGAAGCCCAGATTGGAAACCCAGGTCTGTTCCCATTCCTCCATGGCCCAGCTTGGCAGCTGGCCTCATGTTCACCTGCAGGGTCTCGGGAAGTGAAGGGGCAGGGGTCTAAGGCTCTGCCTACCACCTATCCAGAAGTCACAGTCAGTAAATGCTTGGGCAACAGCCTCAGACTTGGCTCATTCTGAGGGGCTCTGTCCCCAAAGGCCAGGCTACAGAATCTCTGGGTTTCTAGTAATCTCAGGGACTCTCTAGAGAACCCTGCTGGGACCAAGGCTTATTACTAAAAGAGCACTTCGTCCACTGAGGTCTCTGCTGCCACCCTGTGGTCACTGCAGCCAGAGGGGGAGCAAGCAGAGCTATGTCCCCACTGGGGCTGAATCCTGGGGTCAACATACAAAGTTTGAGTCCTGAAAAGACATTGCTAACCTCCAAACAGAAAATAAGCTTCCCTGGAAACCGCTGCAGAGAGGGAAGGCAGGAGAAAAGTCATAAAAAGATTGGGTTTTCATTCAACTACATTTTTAACCAATGGTTTTAACCATTCTGGGTTTAGGAGTTTCTTAAAACAAGTGATAGCCATTGCATTAAGGGAAAAAAAGAGAAATACGGGTAAAAATAAAGTTTAAAAATTTAATAGAAAAGCAATATCCTAAATAAGTAAGGTCCTACTGTACCACACAGGGAATCATAGTCAGTATCTTGTAACAACCTATAATGAAAAAGCATATGTATGTATAATTGAATCACTATGCTGTACACCAGAAACACAACATTGTAATTCAAATATACTTCAGTAAGGAAAAAGAAAGAAAAGTATGACTAAAAGCAGTATCTTTTGTAGAAGTTAGAATTTACTTAACCCCTGGAATGCAGAGATGACCCTCTGTGGGAATGGAAGAAGCCTTCTGCAACCTGGCACTGAAAAGGTAAGAACCAGCGCCCAACAGAAAGGCCCAAATGAATTACTCAGGGGCATCATTTTCCTTAAAAAGTTGAAAATTTTACAAAACTGTCTCCTCAGCCAGGACACCAAATACCCCAGATGGAAAAGAAATTTAAATTTTTCGATATTTGGAATTAGGTACAACATGTAGACATTCACATAAATTTGGTTGTTTTAGTGCTATTTTTCCGCCTTTCATGCCAACCTTCTCTGCTGCTTTACGTGTGTGTGTGAACACACTGTGGTCCCCTATTCCTCACTATTCCTCAGTGTTTCAGCCACACTGGCCTCCTTCCTACTCTGGCTCTTGTCAGGCTTTGCAGCCTTGACGCTGACTGTTCCCTCTGCTCAGAATGTTTTTTCAACAATTATCCTTTGGCATTTCAGGTGACTCAAATGTAGATCCCTGAAGAGCCCTTTCCTGACCACCTGACCTAAGGTAGCCACCCTCCAGCCCATCTCATTTTGTTTTGTCTTCAGAGCATTCCAGAACAATGTTTTTCATTTGCTGTATTTATTTCCCTACTATCTTATGTTTCTCCCTCTCCGTTGATATGAGCTCCATGAAAGGAATGCGAATAAGAGTTTGTTCGCAGGGGTATCCACAAGGGCTGAGGACATAGCGGGGGCTTGTAAATATCAAGTAATTTTCAAACTCGAATGGGTTTGAAATTGAGACACCACTGGGTTCAAATCCCAGCTGTCACTTTCTGGGTTTTGAGTGACTTTAAACAAATGAGTTCATCTCTCCAAACCTCGAAGACTTTCATCTCTAGCTTGGGGATGGTAACAGTGGCAGGCTCACACTGAGGACTGCAAATCACACTCAGGACTCCCACACAGAATTCATGCCCAATCTGGCCGTTCCAAGGGCAGCTCTCTTCGACTAGTCCCGCATGATTAAAAGCAAACTTCTGCCTCCACAGCCGGCTAGGGGTCTAGGGGCAGGATTTCGGCCCAGCGTTCCAGGGTTTAATAAAAGGACACGGGTCTGTTTTTGGTGGAGGAAGGACATGGGCTGGATTCTGGGCAGCGAGCGGGGCCTGCTCACCGCTTGGAGATCTCCTGGTAACGTAGCTGCAGCTTCGCCTGCAAGTCTTGCTGTGGGAGAAAGAGAGGAAGGAGGTCAGCCCGCAGGGTACCCCAAGAGAGAAGGCCAGCGAACAGGGGCAGTTCGGGGATGAACAAACGAAGGGGAGGCGGGAGATGGGCATTTGGCGACAAGGATATGAGCCATGGAGGTGAAGAGGAAGGATGGAGGCCGGGGCCACAAAAATCCAAGGCTAAGAAGGTACAGCACTAGAGAGAACCCAGGCCTGAGTGGGACCCCAGTCAAGAGAGAGCCAAGGGCTGGGGATGGGGGTGGGTGTGTCTCAGGCTGAAGGGGACATAAGTCGGGGATTCCGGGCTAAGTGAGGAGTCCCGACCTAGAGGAATCCTGGCACTGCACCCGAGAGATGCAGGAAGAAGGTGAGTGGTGGGACCAGGTCCCGGGCTTACGGAGCCCGCAGCCCCCTCCCAGTGCAGCCCTTCCCACCCCGCTTACCCCGGATGCCAAGTTCCGCAGCCGCTGGATAAAACGGGTAGCGGACGCCATCTCCCTACTCCACCGAAGGGCGCCAGCGACGTCTCTACCGCGAGCACTGCTGGGAACGTGGCGTATGGTCTCGCGAGAGCGGGAGCGGGCGGGGCTCGGATTTCGTATAAAAGGGCTCTCCGAACCACGTGACTCCTCTCAGCCCGACCGCCGCCGCGCCGCCATCATGGACACGAGCCGTGTGCAGCCCATCAAGCTGGCTAGGGTGAGGCAGAGGCTCAGATTTGGGGACCTGGATGAGGAAGGGGGGAGTAGAGGAACCGAGTGGGCAGGTCTGACGCAACCTTCTTTCCCCCAGGTCACCAAGGTGCTGGGCCGGACCGGTTCGCAGGGACAGTGCACTCAGGTGAGGGGTCGGGAGAAAAGGGATTCGGGGTCTGAGTCTCCGAAGATGACTCTTTCCATCCTCCAGGCCCAACTCCCTGGTATCTGAGAACCGACGTCCCCTTTTCCCCAAGGCTCACGGAGGGTCCGAAGCTTCACCAAGGCCCTGCCCACCCGGTCTGAGCTCTGTCGACCTCATTCTACAAGCTCTGACATACCTCGTTCTCGAGATTCAGCTTATCCTAACGACCACTGTGTGGTTCTACGCCCTCACAGTTGCGCTGCCGTCCCCGACGGGCCCAGAGCGGCAGTTGTCTCCCCTGGTGGCTTCTTTTGGCCCTTGAGAGCATTGTTCTTCACGTTTCGGGCCCTCTACGGCTTTTCTCCAGGCCCAGCCTTGCCTCCCAGCCTCAGTACCCCTTTGTCTCTGTGTAGACACGTCCCCTGAAACTAAATTTGCTGCCATCCCACGGTGCATATTCGTGGCTGACTCTGACTTCCCTTCCCGCGCGGCACCCCGTAGGTGCGCGTAGAGTTCATGGATGACACGAGCCGCTCCATCATCCGAAACGTGAAAGGCCCCGTCCGCGAGGGAGACGTGCTGACCCTACTGGAGTCAGAGCGAGAGGCTCGAAGGCTGCGCTGAAATTGTGGCTAGTGAGTGCATGACTGGAGTGAAAAACAGCGGGTCACCGTTAGACTCTTGGTTGGTGGTAGGGAGGTTTATCGCCATGCCCACGGGTGAGGGACTCTTCATGGTGGGGTGTGTAGGAGGGGTATGGTTGGCAAAATAGGGGTTACCAGTTGAGAGGGCTGGGGCTGTTAAGCATCTCATGGTTCCATTTGTTTACAGGGTCCTGGATGTCTGGGTCTGGCCACTTGGCCCACAAGGATGATTTCCTGACTGTTAGTTAATAAAGCATTTATATTGTATGTAAACTTGGGGGTTTTGTCTGCATTGTCACTAGGCTTATAAAATCCTCCTGTGGGACTGCCCCAGGTGGCCACTGATCCACCCCGTGGCGAGTAGTTTTCCCAACAAGGCATAACTCTTTGAGGAGAGAGAGAACTATGTGTCATGGATCTCAAATAACACAAACTGAGTTAGGAATGTTTTATTAGGGTAGAAGGCTGCAGAAGTGGGTGGACTAGGGTTTTATCTCTTCTCAGCCCCCACCTCACCCTGCAGAGTTCCAGGTGAGCCCCTCCGGCCACTGAGCCATCCCAGCCTTCCTTTTGGTACAGGGCTAGCATCTGGATGCAACCCCTGCTATGCCCAGAGGCTGAGGTGGGGGAGGGAGAGGTCTCTCCCCCATTCTGGGTTCAGCGTGTCAGGCCAGTCATTGAGGCTGGGGGTCCTTTTCACTGTCGCTGCATTCTCCTTCACCGGGCACAGCCATGGGAGAGTCAGGGGACAACTGGTGAGAGAGGTTGGGAGAGGGGGTCCTATATCCTGCAAGCCGGACACTGTGGGTCCCAGCCCCTGGGACTCGGACGTTTAACCAAGTGGAGGGATTGCCTGTCCACTGATCCCTGCAAATGAAGCAGGGACCCCACCTTTTACAGCGGAGCTTGAATCCTGCTTCTGGCCCATCTGACCTGGAAGAGGCACTTGACCTCCATGGCTCCTTTCCCACATCTCTGCAGGAGAGTGCAGGATGGGCAGCCTGACTGGATGAATTTAATTCTGCAAGCGCTGAGAATAGAATCGCCTGGCACTTGCCTTTTGAATATAAGCCTCTTCCCCTTGGGGACAAACTAAGGCCCCCAGACCAGCTCTTCCTGCCTGCTGCTGGCAAACTCCTTGTTCCCATCCTGAAGCTGTAACTTGCAGGGAGTCTGCATCCTCTTCCCCTGCCCTGCTTGACTCCAAAGTCTCCCCTGTCCCTTTGCTGTGAGCCTCCCTGGGGGCAGTAGCAGGATCCACTGACATGAAGGTCTGAGCTAGGTCGGACAGCCCTACTTTGACCTTAGGTCACGTCCCCTCTGGAGCCCTCAGGCTCGGGACCTGTGAAGTGAAGGTGTGTCTAACTTGGGCTTTCTGCAGGTTGAACATCAAGTCCCAACCACACGAGAGAATTCAGACCCAGGTTTCCCACTCCTGGAGCACACTTGGTATCCTTGAATGTGCAGCTGGGAAACTTGCACATGGCAGCGGGGCTACACTCACCAGGGGACCAGGCTGGCCAGAGCTCAGGTGGGCGTGCAGCAGAGCGGCCACCTCGTCCTGCTCAGCCTCCAGGGCAATGGCTAGGGCGCTGGTGCCTTCCTGAGGGAGGATGGGGACAATCAGGTTCCTGAACCAAGGCACGGCTACCCTACCACCCCCACACCAGCCCTGTGGTGGCTCACATTGTCCAGGAGGGCAGGGTCACAGCCTGGCTGGGCCAGCAGCAGCCGGACAGTGTCCAGGCGCCCGTACTCACTGGCGCACATCAGCGCTGTGGCTCCATCTGCATCCTGTGCATTCACATCTGCCCCACACGCCAGGAGGGCTGCTACCATGTCCTGGCGGCCATGGCTGATGGCCAGCATGAGGGCTGTCTGTCCTGTCTGGGGAAGGAGGAGATAGGGCTGGTGTGGACTCTTAGGGCGGAGGAAGGGAAGTCAGGGATATTTGGCTCCGGAGGTGGAAGTGACCCCCCCAGACTCAGGTTCAGGGACAAGGTGTCTGTGCACCTGGCTGGCCTTGGCGTTAACATTGCCCATGCAGAAGAGTCTCTGGACCACAACCATGTCCTCATCTTGCCCCACAGAGGTGAGTGCAGCCAACATGAGGGCCGAGTAGCCGGCTCGGTTCTGATGGTCAACGTTGCAGACCCCTTGGGGAGAGACAAGAAGCAGTCTGTCAACCAAGAAGAGGACACCCCCAGCCCAACCTAGTCCGCTTACCTCCCTCCAAGCCTCAGTCAGGTTCATCATCTGTTTTGATTGAAACTGGTGAGGCTTAGGCTATAGAGAAAGAGAACCGGCTGAGAGTTAACATTCAAGAAACGGAAGAGTGACTTGAGGTCAGAGGGAGACGTCAGGAGCAGAGGTGGGTAGTGTTCTGACCAGTAAGAGGTTCCGGGGGATACTTAGGGAGGAAGGGGAAGCAGTCTGGAAGTGGAGATAAAGAACAAGGACACGGCTGTGTACCAGCCCTTCATTCCAGGGAGAGGGGAAACAGCCCCTATGTGCCGGTGCACTGAGGGCTCAGGGTCCTGGGGAGGGGGTAGGTGGAGGGCCAGGCTGACGCACGTGAGAACCAGAAGGCCCACAGCATGGTCTGGGGAGTTGGAGCCGAGGGTGGATTCAAATGCAGGGAATAATGGGTCCAAGGAACCTCTAGCCTCTTGTGACCAGTGTCTGTATCTGCCTTGACACCTGCCGCAGCCCCAGTCCCCAGCCCTCTTTAAGATAGGAGCTGCCCAGAAAGTATCTTGAATTCATGCCTCATCCCCTCCTCCCAAGCCACAGCTCCCTGTCCATCCCAGAGCAGCTGTGCTCTTCCTCCTGGTCACCAAGACCTGCACGGATGGGACGACGGATCTGTGTGTTTAGGGAAGTAGCATGGGGGATGCGACAGTGGGACCTGCCTAAGCTTGCAGTGACAGTTGAGAGGCCTCCAAGGGCAGGCCCTAAAGGGTACTGAACTTGAAAGAGGACACCCAGGAGAGCAGTTGGTAGGCAGTGTATCTGCTGTCCACTATCCCCTTTGCTGTGAGTCCCACGGGGGAAAGCAGTTGTATGTGGGTGACCCACCCCCATCCAGTCACTGCACTGGTACCTAGAAGCCTCTTGATACATGTCTGTGGGCTCAACAACACCTGGGTGTGTGGGTCTCTGCTCCAGAGGGGAAAATGTTGAGGCAGGTGTTGGAAATATGTGACAGTGGAGTCAATGCAGGGCCTGGTGGTGGACTGTGGGCCTGGTGCCCCATCCCAGGAAGAAGTCACAGCTCTGACCAGTGAAGACTTCCTCTGGAGGATGGAGAGGTGGTGGCTGGATACTGGGGCTCAGGGAGGAGGTGAGCACCAAGGCTGAAGATCCAGGAGCAGGAGGTGTGGTGACCATGGGCTGACCTATATGCCTGGCCCTGTTCTACTTGTGTATTATCACAGTTGCCCAGGGAGAGAGGTGTTAAATACCACGTTTCACAGATGAGGAACCTAAAGCCGGTGGGATGACGTAATCCCCCTAAATTTCGGTCTTACCTCATCCCAGAGCCTGGAATTCCCTTCCCCTTAAAAGTGAGAGGCAGGTCAGGGCAGATCTCGGAGAGGTCAGTCTCTCTCCAGTGCGTCATGGAACCCCCCTGGAAGAGCCAGCGATGCCCTCTGCCTGGCCAGCCCTTCTCTGCAGTCTACCGGCTCTCCCAGCCAGGACCTGCTCAGATTCTCCCTTCCGTGGCTCCCTATTGCTTGGCGCCCTCCCCCTCCCTCCTCAGTGCTGACCCGTATCCAGCAGCAAGCTCGCGATGGCCAGGTTCCCATGGGACACGCTGTAGTGCAAGGCTGTGTTCCCGTTGCCATCCGCCAGGTTCACCACGTGCTCCAGCAGCTCGCGTCCCAGGCGCCCCACCGCTCCCAGCACGCCGGCCACGGGCTCCGCTTGAGAGCGCCGTTGGCTCGACACTCGAAACCACTCCTGGGCCACCAGGCGCGCTGCGCCCTGCCAAAACGGGATGGGGGTGGGGGCAGACTTCAGCCATGGTCCAGGGCGCGATGCCCCAGAGGCTGTAGGGGCGGGGCTGGGAACCCAGGTAGGAGAGGATGGTCACTCCGTGTCCGAGGCGGGGCGTGGACCCATGGGGCTGCACCCTCTTGGAGGAGTGAATACCGTCACTGTGGGTACAGGGCTTGAGGGGGCAAGAGTGTTCCCCTTCTGGGGAAGAGCCTGTGGGAGAAGCTGGAGCGGAGGAAGGCGGTGAGTGCATGTCTCTAGGGAGTCCGGGAGTGGGGCTGGGGCTTGAGGTGGACCCCTTTTGGGAAGTCAGGGAAAGATCAACGCTCCCTTAGAGAGCCTGGGATCCGTGGAGGTCCCTGGTGCGACAGAACTTGGGACTCTCCGCCCCAACTCTAGGGAACCTGATGCACTTCCCTAGGTGGGTGTCAGAGGAGGTCCTTGGCGGGCCTCCTGTGAGGGGCTCTCCTGACACTCACGCTGTCGCGGGCGACTCCACGGGGTCGGCTCAGCTGTCGGTGCAGCGCTGCGCACGCCTCCCGCAAACGCGGGCTCAGCTCGCACCTACCGAGGAGACAGACGGCGAGAGAGGCTCAGGCCGGGTGGGGGTGGGGGTGGGGAAAAGGGAAAGAGAGCAGCGGTCTCCACTCGGTGTCCCCGGTGCTCACCTCCCTTGCGCTCCTGGCTGAGGCTCTGGCTCTGCCTCGGGCTCGGGGTCCTGGGCCTCCCCGCCGCTGGGAGAGCCGGGGGTGCCTGAGTCCGATCCGCCGCCACTGTCGTCACCTGAGCCCGAGGAGCTGCTCCTCGGAGGCTCAGCAGCGCCGTCCTCACTGTCGCTGTTGCTGTCACCCTCGCTGGATGAGCTCTCATACCTGGGGGTAGGGTGGGAGGCGTCTGCTGAGCCTCCCCTGTGGGCTCGTTCTGGAGTGCTGCGAGGTGGGAGTGGCTGTCCCCATTTTATAGATGAGGACACTGAGGTTTGCCAAGACCACGCTGCGAGCAAGGGGCAGAGCTGGGATTCAAACCCGAGTCCATGTCCCCTCAGATGCTGCCATGGGCAGGGGAAAGTGCTCACTCTCCGTTGAGGACCCCAACAAACTGCAGGCTCTTGGGTCCGGGGCTGGGTTGGGCGCCAGGTGTACCGTCTCTCCTCTTCATAATGGATTTGAGGGTGCCTAGCGGATATCACATGAGGACACTGAGTTCGAGTTCGGAGGCCGGCAAGTCAGGGCTCACCGAGGGATTCGGACTCACCCGTGGGCGCCACCGCCATGTCCCCATCTGTGGGTCCAGGCAGGTTCTCCTGCGTCAGAGCAGGGGCCTCCGCGGGGGTCTCTGTCTGAGTGGCCTTCTCGGCACAACCCCAGGGGGTCTGGGTGGCAGCCTCGCACGGCTGGGGCCGGGCCTCTGCCGCTGCCGCTGCTTCTGCTTCCTCGGCAGCCTCGTGGGCCTCCTCCAGCTCGCGCAGCCGACCCCGCAAG